CAAACCTACCAAAATTGGGAAACAAGCGGTTTCCTGATTACTATTTATAAATAGGGATATAAAAAACAGTTTGAGCCATTTTAAGTTTTTATTTTCAAAACAAGAAACAAGAAAATCTTTCGTTTTTCCATTTTTTGTTCCCGTTTATAAATGGTAGTCGAGAAACAGCTCGTTTGTTCAATTGTTAACTAGTTTAATCTGATAGCTATCTTCGAAAAATTCTAGCTAACTATCTAGCTAACGATTGATATAGATTAGCTAGAAGTTAGCTAATGTTTTGCTAACAATTTTTTTGTTCCTTTTTAGAAATGGTAGTCGGGAAACAGTTTGCTCGTTTAGTTGATCAATTGTTAGCTAGTTTAATCTGATTGATGTAGATTCGTTAGCTAGTTAGCTAATGTTTTTTTTTAAATTGTCACTTTTATCCGTCAACCTTCTTAAAAAATTGGTTGTTTTTTCAACATACACGAAGAAGCTAAGAAGAGCAGGTTAATTAAATTTAATTGAATTTAATTTATTGATTAATCAACATTTAAAATAAAAAAAACAGCTTGAAGAAACCACCAATTTACAGAACACACTTGGAGGTTTTTATTGAGTGTTCAAACAAAACATTTAGCGACATTTCATGTAAAGAAAAGGTTTCAGTCAGTTAACGACTTGAATGCTAATTTATTTTCCGATTTTTATTTATAATATAAATACAACACATTGATACAGTCCATTTGGCTATATGAGCTCATCTTTTTAGGAAGCTCGGTTTTTCAAATACAGCAACACTAACAGACAAAAAACCATTTTCCTTTATTATGAAACACATTCAAAAGAAACCTTCCCTTTTTGAGTTAAAATGCACCAACATGTTATGATGCTACATGCCAAGTACACAATCCTATACATCAAAGTGCAATGTCACAATGGGTTAATGCTAAGAATTCATAATTCAGTTAATCTACTAAAACACTTTTTATGATTATTTCATTCAGAGTGCTGCTGCTCTTCGTTCAGGACATGCGTGAGTGGATTCACAACTTCCCCCCAAAAAAAGACAAGGGTTTAAAAAAAAGGCACTTTCACATACACACACACACGCACAGAGATGTGCACCCATCTCAGCAACACACACACACACACACACACACACATTCATCAAATCTTACTCATGACTACACACAGAAACAGAAAACATACTTCATTTAAAACAGCTGATGATGTCAGACATTGGTCTTTTTGGTATTTCTGCTCAACGCAACACAACACAATACACGCACACACACACCACTGTATGCTTAATCTCAATCCGGACTATAACCTAAACCTAATCCTGATTCTCCCCGTAACCCTTGCCTCAGCATTAAAATTGAAATAAGACTTAAGATTTGGATGAAGTCTACAGCATGAACATGTAAAATGAGTGGTGAACGTGCAGATTCTTTTGTCCCTTGTTCAGATGAGTCACAACGTGAACAGTCACTAGATCAGCTAGACACCCTGGGTACTTCCTCTTTATCCATGGAGTTATTTCCAGACAAATCAGACCAGACAGCAGAGAAGTAACCCAGTAATTGTCACGGCGGTCGATAGCAGTCCTCGTATTAGAATGGACTTTCTCTGTCCCCACCTCCACTGAGCAAGACCTCCTCATTTATAAAGATCTATCTTTAAATGTAACAAGACTACAAGTCTAAACCAGGCCCAAGAGGCTTCAGCGTTAATGACAATACTTAAATGTTGGAAGGAACAAACATAATGATTTGGCTATTCATAGAGCATACCATTAGTTGCATATGTAAAAAGTGATCTGAAGGTGCTGCTAGAACAGGTATAGGTCCTGGAAATCATCCTTTGGGGAGCATGAAGGCGTTCAGTAAATGTCGCACTGAGACCTCACCAGAAAACTGATAACATTCACCACTTGCTGAAAATGACCTAGTTTACACTTTCCTGGCAAGTGACCACTTGTGATCATGTGAATAATTATAGTTATCTCCCAGAAGCAAAGGCGGAAGTAGCTTTCATGGTAGATTGTAGGGCTGCAACTAATGATTACTTTCAAGATTAATCTCTTGGAAAACTTTCTCAATTCATCGATTAGTTGTTTGATGTGATCAAAGATGTTGTTAAGTAAGCCCAGGGTGACGTCCTCAAATGTCTTGACTTTAAATTTCACAAATGGCCACCAGTTATCAGTGCTTGTGACGTGTTAGAAAGACAGGCTTGAATGATGTAATACTAAGATATAAAATTGCTGTTTTAAGTAAACAGAGGGGTTTCACTGACTCACAGGAAGTGATGCAATATGTGCTCCTGGATTGTTTAGAATAGAAAGGAAACTGAGGTGGTTAACAAGTGTGAAAAAGCAAAAACAAACACAATCCGAAGTTATTTCTGTGTTTTACATGTGATGTGTGACAACAGTTGGTTGGTTTTTGTTCACGAGCAATTTCTCATGAGGTGGTTCACAGTTGTACTGTGTTTTGTGAAAGGGTTGGTTGGGGGTTTGAAAAGTTGCCCATCCTGGTGGGTGGATGGTGTAGACAGCAGAGGAAATTGGCTTTTATCAGCTAACTGATCAGCTATGAGTCATGAGCCATTTATAGCTGCATCCGAGAGTGGGTCCAAAAGCCCTCCTGTTAGGGCTGGGTATTCAGCCTCAATATGAGATTGGTAATCTTGTTAATTTATTTTGTGACCAGATATTTCCTGATTTGAGAACTGTACAGTATTTAGGCAAAATTCTTGTATGGCTGTTTGCGTTACGTCAATATTTAACATTTCTTACAGCAAATGAAAAGTTTTTTTTGTTTTTCTTTAGAAAATCATGCTTACACAATTCTGTCTAAACTTTCACGTTCAATGCCAAAAAAAATGTCATTAAATTTTGTATATTTAATGCCAACGCATTGTTTACATTCAATGCTGTCATTTCTTTTTACATTTAATGGCGATGTTTTTTTGGTATCACTACAGAAACTAAGGTATCAGATTTTTATTAGTATTGAAAATTTTACCCAGCCCTACTTCAGTCCATATCAAAATGTTTCAGTATGATTTCAGTTCAAAGACTTCTCATATACAGCAGTTTACTATGTAAGTGCTTTTTGATATTGATTGACTAGATTGTATCATCAGTGAAAGGCAAACATAAGCATTAACAAATTTAATGTAGACTTTTCATTCCTAGGTGACTGTGGCTCAGCTTAAAAGCCAATAAAAGAGACCAGCAGGGCAACAAATCCTGATGATTCGCTGTTATTTCGATGGCTGTGTTTTTTCCAAATGAGAACTGCTGAGTCACAGAAATAAATAGGGGTTGACAAACCCTGAAACAAAACACCAATATGACTTTTGCAAACTGTCCTTGCCCTGCAGGACAGAAAGCCATGAACCTGAAACCTTCCTGTGCTCATCAGAAAATGAAACCATCACAATCATCATCACCACCACAGTCTTCCTCACCTTGACAGAAACTATACAATGAACAAGCATTATAGCCCGTGTGTGTACAGGAGGGCTGTGTTACAAACCCCCTTTGGATCAGTGTGACGGGGGGGTGGGGGGGAGCTTTAATTGAGGCAGTGGAAGATTAAAAGTGCTTAGGGCTTTCATGAAAGAGCCAAGAACACACTGTATTAAAGTGAGGCTTTCTACCAGCTGAAAACATTAACTCAAGTGTGTTTGTGTCCAAATATGAAGGACTGCAACTGCACACATAAGCAGAACACCTCACTTTGAGTCAATTGCCCTGCACACTGCAAAGATCAGCTCCCACAGGTCACAAGAGGCGTGTGTATTTGGAGTGTGTGTGTTTATGTTCCTGTGTGCCTATCTAAGCATGGGGGAGGGAGCATATCAATAATTCATCCATTGATTCTGATTGCCCCCCTGCTGCCAAATGCTTTGCTTCTGCTTCGACCAACAATTTACTTTTGTAGATTCAGCATTACTGACTTGTACACCTGCCTTCTTCTGAGACTTTTCTCTTTTCCTTTCCCTCTCTCGAGTAAAAGGCAGGCACTGTAGAGGAGGCAGGAGTTTAAATCTGAGGGATGTCATACAGTTAGGAAGTGAATGAAGCTGCTATATCAAGAGATATTTTGCCAAATGTGAAATCCAACACGTTCTCACTCCCGACTCGTCAAAAACAACAGCTTGCTCAGTGTCCCTATGCTT